CCCACAACCTCTGACCTGATGACCTAAAGCTGTGAGATGGTGTGTGTGAAACTGGATCAAATCCAGCACATACACTGTAAGGTTGTAAAGGAATCAGAAATTTAAAATGAACTCTAAACTGAAGTGAGGGCCAGAGAAGAGCAGCTCAAACAGCTGAGTTCTGCTCAACCTGAAGACACTCCCTCTTTAATCATGTGAAGAAACAGGTACAATAGTCCAAACCAGAAGAAATAAATGCATTAAGGACCATTTCAAGTTCAGCTTCTATGCAGAGATGTTCCTAAGATGGGAAGAACAGTTTCTGCTCAGTTGTTTTACAGAATCAAAAATAACAGCCAGGGTTCTGAGGCCGGACTCAACAGATGGACCTGAGACACCAATAAACTGTTTAATTTGAGGAAGCTTATTTTCAGGAGCAATAATCAAAGTTTCAGTTTTCTCTGAGTTGTAGGTAACTGCTGCTGAACCCCTGTTTGATGCTAGCTAACTGACTTTCTTTAAATGAGCAATACAGCTGAATATCATCAGCAYAGAACTGACGCTGCACATTTCTGARAGGCTGGATTACCTGTCCATGGGGAGAATGTAGAGAATAAACAGAACAGGTCCCAAAACAGAACCCTGAGGTACACCACAAGTTAGCCTGGTGGTGTTGGACAGGTTCGATGAGAACCACTCAAGAAGAGAACCAGATAACACAACATGATTTCTAAGTGTGTTGATTAGACTCTTGTGAWCARCAGCATCAAAAGCAGAAGACTGGTCCAGTAGGACCAGAACTGTGTAGTACCCTGAACCGTGTCTCATCAATGTGTCGCTGTAAACCTTTCATAAGTCGTTTCTGTGGAGTGAGCAAAAACCCCTCACCTAGGACCTGTTTGACTTGGGTGACCCTACTGGGGGCAAGAAGCCCCCGACAACATAGCTCCAAGAATCATTGGGACCCTCGAACCTGTCCACCACCATGAGGTGGCAGCCCAGGGACAGGCTGAGAAAAGTCTAGATGAATTCATGAGGTTTGCTTTCATCCAGCTTGTCTGCATGAACATGGTGCACTGAGGTGTGGTAGTAGCTGAGAGTCAYCCTGACAAACCACACAAGACCTTGGTCTAAAACTGCAGCGTTGATTGTTTGCAGACAGCTGGGCTCTGACAGTTTGGTTTGAAGACTTCACCATGATAAAACTGAAACACAAAGCTTTGATGTTGTGTCAAATAAAAACCCTGCAGTGTAAAAGCACAGGGTCTTTCTGAAGACAGGAAACAACAAACCTGTTTGGTCAACCTGCGGAGCTGCTCCGTTAGCCTGCTGCTCATCTCATCAAACTTCCTGAACGCCTGAAGGAAAACATGCAGAATGTAAACTCTCAGGACATCTAATGACTCTTTAAACTTTAACATCATGTAGACGTTTCTCCAGGTCACCATCACCATCATCATCTTACTCCAGTAGCTGAATCAATAAACATGCTACCTCCTCTGGAGCCGTCTGACACGTCAGCAACGCGTCCAGAAACTCGTAGACGTACTGCAGCAGAAACACAGACTTCAGCACTGAAAGGTTAGGGTGTCTGAGTGAAAACACACAGAAAACTCACCGGGGTCAGGAACTTGATGGTGAGATGAGCGTTTTCTGCCAACACATCAGCTGCCAGGTCGAAATACTGCCGATGAAGCCAGCAGAGATGTTATTACAGTTTTAATGACCGCAGCACAGGACAGCCAATCAGTGAGTCACATATAAACACAATCAGAATGTAATGATGAGGGGCTGTGCAGGGGCACAGCTACAGCTCGTTGTTGTGTTGTTGTGTTGTTGTGACCCTGAACGTGATGCGGTACCTCGTGTTTGCTGTAGAGCAGCAGCAGGTTTCCAAAGGTGACCCGGGGGAAGGAGGGCATCTGCAGGAGGAAGGCCAGCTTCTCAAACCCTTCTGAAGGCTTTGTGTCGATGTTTATTAGAGCCTGGTTGTGCAGAGTCACTGCGTCCAGCTCCTGAACAAACAACATTCACAAACATCCACATCAGTCAGACCGCAGACTCAGGATCTCAACAGGTTTTCATTGTTGCTAAAAACACCAAAATCCAGCTCCCTAAACACATTTAATAACACTACTCATTGTGTGCACACTTCACAATGTCCAGGATGTCAAACTTACATGTAGATTCACCATGTCAGAATAAAATGTCATAAATCTATGTTAAATGATAGATATATCCATGTTATCTCAYTTAGATGTGCTTTTGTTGATTATTCATGCAACAGACCATGTTACCAGCCAGGAGTTAAAGTAACACAGACCATTGGTGAACATTCAGGAACAAGTGTTGGTTAAACCTGAAAGAATTTCACAGACTTATTCTTTGATTAGCTTGAACTTTAATTCTGCTTTAAAACTGGTTGATGTCACATTTGATAAATGAAAGTATCAATTTAATACATGTTTATGCCCAGTGGCACATGTTAAACCTGTCCCTCTCACATCACTTCTTCAGGTTAATGGAATCACTGTCCAACCATCATCATTTCCACTCTYTTCAACTTTTATTTTGTTAACAGACTTTTTTATGAATAAGTGGATCCTAAGGTGCATGAAAAGGCAGAGTAAGCTGAATATTTAGGATCTGTGTGGTAAACCCAGATAAAAAATAAAAGTTTCATCTTCTGTTGGGTTGTGACAATTTGACCCTCTGATGACAGATTTGCGTATTTATTTAATGAAATATAATTTAAATCAAGCTCACCAGTATGAATCAGCTGATACCTTGCTTTTTAAATTTGGTTGGTTTATAGCAAAGTTTTTGACAGTTAAGGTCCATGTAGCCCTAACTTTGGGGCAGCTGTGGCAGAGTGGTTAGGGGAGTCGTCCTGGAACCAGAAGGTCACTGGTTCGATCCCCCGTCCAGCTGTCTCAGTTGTCCTTGGGCAAGGCACTTCAGCCCTAATGCCTCTGATGTCCCATCAGTGTATGAATGTGATTGGCTCTGATTAGTCTCCATAGATGAT